TCAAAACATCCCTTCAATCATAATGTAATTTTGTTATCCCTGATGTGACGAAATACAAAACTTTTATTTTATTTGTGTCTGTAATCAGTGTTATATACTTAGTCTTGGCCAGAGAGGCTCCTGTGCTTGACAAAGGAGAGGAATGAATCTGGGTTGGTTTACTGCAGGTGGCTCCACTCAACTACTGCTTCACACTCTGCTGCTTTCCTCTCATTTCACTACTGCCCTCTCATGCTCCCCTGTTCCTCCCTTTGCCTCTTTCTCCTGCACACCCAAACACTCATGATTCCTGACTCTGTCCATCTCCTTCTCTCACCCTCCGTACTCCGTCCCTGCTCTCGTTTTCTCTTTTTATTGCTTTAGTGTTTTTTTGCCTCTTTACTATAGGATGGAAGTTCACAAGTCGAGTAAAACATTCAACGCCTCAGACAGTGCAGTAGTAATAAAGAACGACTAAAATGGGAATAAAAAGCAATCTTAGAAAATGTCAAGGAATTATGGGAAATGCACATACAAACATGTATGGAGGAGCTGATTTCAGAGTCACTAATTGCCCTTTCTTTTTATATCCTGCTGCGATATATTATTCAACATTCATTCACTCGCTGGTTTTTGCTTTTATTTGACTTGCCATAATACGCTGGTATATTTTTAGCCTTTCTCAAACACAATAACCAATCTCCATACACACTGAGTAATTATCCATGGAAACAAATTACAGCGAAAGGAACAAATACAGTTAAATTCATGTTTGTAGAATATAATATCTATAATATGGCTACTAATGATTTCTTTTTCTAAGGCAAAGTAATTACACAGAATGACTGTGTTGAATGTGTTAGTGACAGTGAGGCAGTTCATTATGCACTGAGCTAAAACAGGGTATAACCCCTTAGTTTGAATAGTTTGTTTTATTGATGACATTAAGACCCGGTCCAATGTAACATAATATTTAATTACTACAAACCCACAGTGTTGTGCGAGTTCACGCCTCATAACAGCTAGCTCAAAGTTCAGTTCACACCGCTTTAAATGGACTAGTTCACTTTCATCGTTCGCAATTTCGAACTCACCATCTCAAAAAAAATGGACCAGTTCACGTGCAGTTCTGTGTTCTCAGTAGAACCTGTGTCATGAAGCAGGACCACCCACAACCTATCTGTTTACAAATGTAGTTCCGCTGTGTACTTATTTGTATTATGCAGAGTGTTCAAATAGTTCAAAAACATCAAATAGATTACAGTCAGCTACAGGCTCCACCAGTGGCTTCATTACAGTCATTATACCTGAGAGATGTGCTATCATTTCCGTTATCATGCCAGGTGCCGTAAATCCTTGGGGCGTTCTGGTGTTTTTTAGCAGTCGGCAAACAGCTTTTTGGTGCCGTTACTGCCACCCTCTGGTGCGCGAGCACGTTCACATACGTTATAGTTTCGAATGGATACGCTCAGTTTCACCGTTCGCCAAAAAAGCGTTAAGTGAACCCGCTCTTCAGCACTGGAGGCCGACCACACGGGGCAACACAGCACCTGGTTATGATGGATGTCGGGAAAAAGCTCGAGGCTAGAAAATAACACATGCATCTGAAAGCTCAATCACACTCACATGTTGTAAATAAAGTTATGAGGTATAGTAAAAGTCTTGAAATAGTGCAGACCGATGACCTAACAGTTAAAAGCAAGTGAAAGCGAGCTTCTGCCTGCTCTGGCTCACACAAACACACTGAAACACACACCACTGAGATGCAATCATTTGCAGAAATAATGAACCGTTACTCTGGGTGGACTTGTTGACTTTTTCACCCCCGAAATCTGGGAAAGAAATTTGCTCCCCTCTGTTTCAGGCTTCTACAATCACATTGGATTGGACCAAGCCGGAGAAAAAAAAAAAAAGTCTCATAAACCAGCCCTTAGTGCGTACCTGTGGGCAATTCATCCCACTGCTTGCTTACTTCTCACAGTGTGCATCACAGTGAGCCGGTTTCATCAACCAGCACATTTCAGCGGAGACACTATAGAGGCAGACAGCTGGTCTTGAGTGGCCAATTATGTCCGTTTATCTCCCTTCCAGGCACAGCTGTGATCAAACGGAATGAAGAAACAGGATCAAACAGCGAGGCTAAAAATCATTCTTCCGTTTCGTTCCCTTTTTTTTTTTTTTTTTTTTTGCTGCTTCCCTCTGCCTGTTTCTCTCCCTGTTACTTCCTCCCACTGTACTTCCATCCCTCCCTCCTGTCTCACCCGCTATATATATACACTTCTTAGTCTCACTATGCTTTCCTTTTGCTCATCTCTCCGGAGACGACAGAGCAGAGGCATCTGTAAAAGTTTACTGCTGAGGAAGCTTCAATCCTCCATAGCCTACTGCTGAGCATGTGTGTGTGTGTGTGTGTGTGTGTGTGTATGTGTGTGTGTGTGTGTGTGTGTGTGTGTGTGTGTGTGTGTGTGTGTGTGTGTGTGTGTGTGTGTGATCCAGTGGTTCTCATCGTACCAGAGGGGAGATCTCGAGGGGAGTTTGAAGGAGTCCCCAGTAAAACTAGGGTTCATCAATTAGCAATTCTTTTTTTGTGAAGAAAATTAACAGAATATCAACAAGTTTTCACACCTGAACAAACTATTGATTGATTTAGTTTTAAGAATCTGATGATGTCATGGTTAAAAGAAGAAACTCTTTGCTAAGGTTTAAATAAAGATTGTGGTCATGTTTAAAAAAAAAAAAACAGTGATGAATGGAGACAGAACAGAAACCTCAGTCTCTCATGTCATTGTCAAACACTCCATCCATCCACCCTGAACACAGTTTCCGTGTGAATATTTGCTCTGCTATAGGAACCTCCCTCAGTACTTCCTGCTTCGCCATTGACTCTGAACATGACTCACTTTACTGTTGATCAAATGACCAGGACAGTCTCAGAAATACAACCGCTTTTACATTCACATTGGCCTGAACCGACTTCCAGGTTGACATGGAAATATCCACACATAGAAATCTGATCCATGGTTCGTATCTTCTCACATTCAAGGTGTAATGTGATGCAAAGAAAGCCTTCACTGTGCACACTCTCTCTACTACACTGTGTTTCTCCAAAACAAGATTTGGCAGACGGGCCACTTAATCTAAGTCATGAGATCTGCAAAAGCCTCCTGAATAAGCCCTAAATCAATACAACCTAGAATGCAACCAACTTCTCCACAGCTGCCCTCCCTCACTTCCTTCTTTTGCACCTTATGCACGAACACCAATGTACCTGGAGGAGATAAAAAAAAAAAAAGAAAAAAAAAAGATATTGCCAAGTGCTCAGTCTTCTTTAAATGGACAGCTGTGAGAAACAGTGAGACTATGCATCACTGCTTGTGGTGAAAAAATGGTCCTCAGCCCCACTGTTCAGGGCGTCAGTCTGTTTGAGAATCCATGAAAGTGAATAGAGTTCCACTGTCATATTAGTTGTAAATGATCTTTAATTAAAGCTCATTTGGTTTATTAAACGACTAGTTCTCCGCTCCTTTTGACTGAGGCACTTCAAGTCCCTCACAAATGCACACCTGTAACACAACAGCGAATGTAAGTACTGAAATCTTGACCCAGCGTCACCACAGATATGTTTGATTAAATCCACTGCAAATCTTCTCTGCTGCACAGAGGGGCCGGGGGAGTTTCCAGGACCCTCCCTGCGCGTAAAGATCGTTTGGATACGTGCAAAAAACATGTACAACGTTAAACGCGTTACACCTGTGCAAAGATTGAACCATTTTTGCCTTGCCACTTTTAATAGAGGGTAGCGCGCTGAGCTTGAACCGTTCCTCACTTCGAAACCATGTGCATATATGCGCAAAGGTAAACTGCTCATTTGGCGTAAATGCATCCCATCGCTCTCACGGGCTCGAGGGGTGACGGACCTCCGCCGCCTGACTCGTTCTAAAACGGCATGGAATCGGATCTCTGTGTGACCGGAGCGCCGGGGCTGGCCTCCGGTAGACGGAAGCAGTAACCCGGTCAGATTCGCTGCCACCTCTCCGCACAAACGGCAGTAGAGGGACGGCCCTACATGGCAGCTGCCAGTCTGTCGGTAAAAAAAAAACTGTCAAGGATTCCTATAAGACTACATCACAGTGACACATCAAGATATACAACAAGAGCGATAAGGTCACTATAAAGTGAGCTGCTGCCTCACAGATCACTGACCCCGAAAGAGGTCCCGATAGGAACATTACGGGAACATCACAGTGATTTTTCATTATTGAATAGCTCTCCTGAGAACAGTCATTGATTAAGCTGCAGACTAAAATCCACAGCATATGGTAAAGATGTTTTTTTCAAGAGGACAAAAATCAATATTGGTACCAAGCCAACATCCAAAGATCCCTGATTATTATAGCACAGAGTCAAACCAGCAGCGGCGTGGACGATGAAGACGTTGCCGGTGAGGATGATACTTTATCTGTGAAATCGTCTTGTTAGAAAGTTGAAGCTCAGAGAAACGGGCGACACCAGGGCTCAACCATATCGGGAAAATTAATTTAATCTGCTTTAAACTGTTAAGGAAAAAGTAACGGATTTTATTCAGTCATAAAAAGTTGTTTACTTTTTTCTATTTTTTTTTTTAATTATTATTTATTTATTGTACCTCTCAGCCTCTGCTGTTAACGCCGACTTAGCGAGATGTCAATTGCAGAGTTCAGAGAAGGGGACTATCACAGGGATCTTCCTCCGAATTGTGCTGAAACTGACATAACCGGCGTCCTTCAACACTGGACTTCATTCATCAACGTGTTATTTGAAAGGAAAATGAAGGTTGGGTAAATTCCTAATAGTGCTTTCCCTAAAATCTTATTATTTTACGGTCATTACGCAGTTTGGTTTTGAGGGGAAAACACAATTCTTCTTAAACGAAACAATCATCCCCGGTGGATTTTTCTCTCTCTCAAAAAAAGCGCTTTCATTTCCATTTATCACTTACGTGTGACACGAATTAAAGCGGGCAGGAAAAGTGTCAAACCTACCTCCTTCCTCTGCTGTGACTGTTGGAGGCAAAAGAAAAGCCAGTAAACATCCACAGAGCCATATGAGTAAATCCATCTTTTTTTTCCTCGAGTGTGGAGAAAAAGCAGCTCTTCTCCTCCTCTGTGGTTTGCTTATGTTTATCTGAGACAAAGCTGCAGTCCAAAGTCTCCTTTTCTTTCCACTGTTTTCTGTTTCTCCCGAGCGTAACACGACTGGTGCCCCAACTCCACTACAAACGCCGGGCTGTGTTCACGGAGCTCTCCAGGAATATCAGGCTGGTTAAACTACAATGTTCGTATGGGTTGCCTCAGTGTGTGGCACTGCTTCTTGTGTCGTAGAAACTGGTCTGCGCAATTAGCGCAAAACTGATCTGAAATCAGCGCAGTTTGTCCAATAAAAACATTTTTAAAACCGCGAAATCCATTTCGGTGCTCACAGTGTCCCTCTGTCAGTCGAAACACGCGTGCCAAAATAAAGTCAACTCAGTTGACTGGCAAATTTCGAACAAAGTAGAATGCACAGGTTGAAACCACCAAGAAGCATCAGCCGCATCTGCAGATGACCATTAAGTTTGACAAAACCTGGAAAAAGTACCACGCGTCTTTCTCCTTCGGTTCGACAAAATATCCCAAAACCTTTTGCTCTCACTCTCCAAGTGGCGCATTGACTTGGTAAGAGCACCTGTGACTAAGAATCAAAAATATTTTCCCATCGATTTTCCTTTTATTACACTGCCCCGATAACAGTCCGTTCTTGCGCAAAAGATAACACTATCTCCTGGAGGAGGCAGCTCCCGTGTGCGTGCGTAAAACTGATCGGGAGACAATAAACGTGCAGCCTCTCCGCTCTCCTCCTTCAAACTGAGCGTTTCTTCGCTGAAACACGCTTTTCAGTGGGCGCTCTCTCACTCTCTCTCTCTCTCTCTCTCTCTGTCCTCCGGAATCAGTGTGTGTCTCTCTCCTTCTCTCTCTTTCCCCTCTCCCAGCAGCTCCGGCAGTGCGCTCCTTCCCCTCCGATCTCCGCCGGGTTTGTGGCAGCGTGCAGGACTGCTCACTCAGTCCCCTGTCTCGGTGTGCGTGCACGCCGTGCGCGCGCGCGTGTATCGGATTACAGTAGGCACCTCGGCCCGCCTCCATATAGCCCCTCACTGATTAAAGAGCAGTTTCATCTCCCTCTCACTCCCTTCTCTCTCTCTCTCTCTCTCTCTCTCTCTCTCTCTCTCTCTCTCTTTACCTCACCCTCTCTTACCTTTCTACATATCTCTCCCTCTCTTTCATTTTTGCCAAATTTCTCCCTGCCTCTCTCTCATTTCCCTCCAATTTCTCCCCTCTCTCTATCTAGACACTCTCTCCTGTCCACATTTATTTCCATTCCATCTCTCTCTTTTCTTCCTTCGCTTCTCTTACCCTCTCCCTAGTATTAAAGAGAATAGAGGGAGGTGGAAAGAAGAAAGGCAGAAATAAGAGGGAGAGAAGAGGCCCACAGCACAGCTTTATGAGCTTTGTAGCAGTGCTGGGAGCTTTAAAAGGAACCTGGTGCTGCTTTACAGCATTACAGCTGAAACACTGGCCATGTGCGTGTGTAGAATAATCAAAAGGGAAAGGAAGCTGATGAGTAATAATCAATGAACAAGAATACATTGCTGTGCCTCTAATAATCCATGAGTGACTAAGATTAACAGAAAAGTTGTACCATCTATGAAAGGGACAGATTTTCATGTCATGCAGAGCAGTCCCTCTGGTAATAATGGCTGAGCTTCTGGATGCAAAAATTCACACACAACTTTGCACACACACACCCACATACACACACTCTCTCTCTCTCTCTCTCCTTATTGCTGGCTCTCTCCCAGTAGTATAGTGCAGGGAGGTTGCCGGTGGGAGGTGTGTTTTAGGGCCTGTAGCGACACTGAAGCCTGTGGTCTGAAAAACAAACCAAATTTTGGCTCTGGCGCTGCCTTCCCAGGACACACCCTGCACACAGATGCGTACACATACAGGCCATAATGACACAGCTCAGTTATCTCGTGGGAAGAAAACCCCTTTTATACATCTATTTCTTTTATGACAGAGAAGAAAAATCACACAAGGGCTGATGCTTTTTCATGTGATAAAAATATTTATAGCCTCTTGTACTCTTCTGACACGAGACTTTGTGAGAACCAGCAAGCTCACAGATCACATATTTCACCAATCACAGTCCTGATCATGGTAGAGTAAGGCGATGAATATGCGAGATATATATTTTCTTATTTCTTGATCAGTTTATCTTTTACTGTTATAGCCCTACAATTACCAGCAGTCAGGTGAATCACTGATCTCAGTTCAGGACGGTGACATGTGAAACATGGGCACACACTATCAAACTGTCACTCAGATGTCTCCTAACATCTCTGGATCTCTGAAGGTATTAAGTTCTTTTTCCATGACAGCTTGATGTGTGTGTGTGTCTGTGTGTGTGTGTGTGTGTGTGTGTCAGAGTAACTGTCGCCCTCCTCATTCCTTGGGTCCCTCCAGTCGTACGACCTCTGTAACCTGTTGCTCTCGCCCCTCTTGCTGCCCTCATCCTGTGTCTTTCCACTGAAACTAAACCCCCCCCTGGCCCACTGGAATCTGTCAAGTGATGAGAGCGCAGAGCAATCACATGCTAATATCAGTCTAATATTCCTCTGAGCTGTCAGAGCCACAGTTTGTGAAAAATGTCTTATCTGGAGCAATAGAGAACAGGTACACGCTGCACTGTGAGTAAGCTAACTGAGATGTTGACTAGCAAATTGCTTCTTTTACTATTATAGTCTATCAATCACAAAGTTTTGAATATTAATATAAATGAAAAAAAGCCCCTTTAAACTTACATTTCGCAGTGGTGCTCAAAGATTACAATTTTTACAGTTTTTTATATCGACAGTGAGACATTCAATCTTTCAACTGGTGTGACATGATGAAAATAATGGAAAACAAAAGTTCAACTTTTTTGTTTCACATGGGAGCAGGACATGCTGAATGCAAAAAGTATCTTAAATCTTTGCTGGCACAAGCCGGCTGGAAGAAATCAGCCAGGAAAAGAAAGCAATAACCTCTGCGAATCATTCTGAATTCACACCAACGCACCACATGGACTGAAGCCTTCTGGACTTTCCCTTCACGCATTCTTTTGTATAACTTACGACAGTATGTTGTGAAACTAGGATATGCTAATCCATGACACCTTTTCTGCTTGCCAAGCAGTGGACTGGGTTTCCTAGAAGCCACTGCTGACATCACAGAGAGAATCCATTTTAGGGCAATGGATAGAAATGCTGCGCAGTACAGGCATCACCAGTGTTTCTAGGTCACTGAGCTCTATACCTGCAGAGTTCTCCAATCAAAGCCTGTTGGCTTGTCAGTCAAAAACCATAACTTGGCATCAAAGCAATACACAAGACCATCAGTGCCATGCATCACCGATACCCTTACATCAAAATTAGCGCAAATATGCAGGTTTTCGCTGCTAGCTGCCAAGCTGACTGGCTGACTGGCTGACTGACTGACAATGGATCTGTCTCATCTCATCCGTGGGTTGGTGCTCATGTCAGTGTCAGAGTCTCCGTATGAGACTCTTCGGTCGGTATGTGTGCGTTAGCCCTGAGCGCAGCGCACTCTGAGCTAGTTAGTGTGGCTTTTTCTTAATTGCTGTAAATTGTCTCATGGGACAAAATTTTCTGATAGAGCATGTGGTGCTCAGTTGGACCAAATGTCTTATCCCAAAGAGTCATATAACATGCTTGAGTTTTAGCATTAAGTAACCCCCCCCCCCCCCTTTGCTGTTGCCACTCCTCTTGCAGCACTGTTTACTTGGAAATGAAGGAGGCAGTGGAGGCAACATTTGCATTAATGCTCAGCGATCATATGCTGACATTCAGCTCACGTCTTATACATATACATATCTATTACAGTGAGTTTAGAGCTCCTTCCCATACACCAGGTAAACTTTAGCCCAGACATCCAACAATCAACCAGGATTTTCATTTTAAATGACAATATTCAAGCGTCTATATGTTTGTTTTCTTTTCATCTTCATTCTAAGCCGCCACTGATGTTGTGTTTCATTTCAACAGCGCGGCCAGTACTGAGGAGTCTTTTAACTCTACTGTTACTCACTACTACCTGCTAGATTTTTGACATGGTGCATGACCCCCTGTGTGTGCGAGAGTTGATTCCAAAGTTGATTTTATTAACCTGACACTACACTGGCCTCAGTCACTGAACGGAGAGCAGTAAAACACCAGTGCAATTATATAAAAACACTGTGGTGTGTGTGTGTTGCAACAGAGCTGTGAAACCAGCAGAGGGTAAGGTGATCCTTGCTCTGCGTCAGGGGAAGAACTTGTCTGCTGGCTTGTCGACAAGCACTACTGGCCCTGTCCACACCTCGCCAACACACTGCTTCCCCTGCCGCTCTTTCTTGTTCACTTGATTTGAGGAATGATTGTATGAATTAATTTGTTCCATGTCACAGCTTTCTAAATTTGAAATTTTTGTTTTTCAGTGTTATTGCTCTGTTTTGTATCTCTCATTTTTGCCACATGTAAACCTTTGAGGTTTTCTTTCCTTGTTTGCTCTTACTTTATTTTATCATTATTATTAATTTCACATTTTTTCCATTTACCCATTTATTTGTCTTTCTCTCTTTCTTTGCATTTCTCATTCATCATTTCCTTTCCTTTCCTCTCTCCAAACATTTCCCTTCTCTTTCACCCCTGTCTTTTCTCCAGGGGCAAAGTGAGATGCACATTTTGCCAATGAGTTTAACAGTGTAGACCGACTGCCCTGGGACCCCCATGGGTGAAGATGCTTTTATTTTATATATATATATATATTTTTTTTTTTTTAAAGCAATATTTACCATTTCCCTCCCTGCTGCACACTTCATATTGATGTTAACAGAGTGTTCGGCGTGTCTATGTGCACACAAAGCTTTATTGGTTCAGGCTGCCATGAGTCTCAGTAATGTTACTACATCCAAAGTAATCAGCCCAAAATGTTACCGGCCCACTGAGATTCCTCTCGATCTTCCTGATTACCACTCTGCCCACCGCTTCCCTCCCTCCATCCATCTCTGAGGTTAATGGCACATGCAGAATGCGGTGATCTCAGAGGGACCGGCAGCTCCGCGTCCATCAGTCTCTCCTCACTTCTGTGCATATGTGTGTGTTTGTGTATGTGTCTGCATGTCAGAGAGTTAAAAGATGTCCGCCTGAGTGCATAGTTGGAAACTCTCTTCGGTGTATGAGTTTTTTTTTTTGTTTTTTTTACCTGCATGTGAGTGTGTGTAATGTCAACCTGTTGGCACCTCCGCACTTCCAGGATGCTGCAGTGGCTGTATTTTGTCCAGTTTCTCACCACTGTCTGTAATGAAATTTTCAAATGCAGAGGCAGAAACATCTAATTATTAGAAAAAATACATTCTCTCTACACACACACACACACACACACACAAAATAAAAAAAAACAAAAACAGACACACTCACTCAGATAGAGTAAACATTTATGTTTGCAGACATCACCCATGGACTGACCATATTTATCTATAGCGCAACAAATATTTAATCTCCGGTGCGGGCACACCAACACTGAAAACACTCTGCAATGCAAACACACACACACACACACAACACACGGCGCACGTACACACACGTGCTCCCTGTGGCCTCATCAATAAGCTATATAACTGAGCAGGTCTTACAGGAAGCCGCA